GTGGTTGATTTTCTGTCCTCGTGGTCAGATGCCCAATCAGCATCGGAAAAGCCTTGTATCGTCGAATTTTCATTTTTGCGGTACGCCAAACGACATTGCGATGTTCCCCTCAAATAACGCAATAAGTGTTTCACCGCGTTCCAGTGCCTTTCACCTGGGTTGGAATTGAAACGGCTCAAAACGTTCACTGCGTAATATACATATGTCGGGGCGTGTACTTTGGGCCAAGTACATGAGGCATCCGACAGCTTCTTGGTACGGTACATCCTTCATTGCTTCAGTCTCCTCCGCAGTTGACGGACACATGTTCTTCGTCAACTTCTCGCTCACGTTCATCGGTGCGCTCACCGATTTGCAGTTCGTCATGTTGAATCCGCTTAATACCGCCTCCAAAGAAGACTCTTGATCCAGGGCAACCATCGCGTCGGTCTTTGTGATTCGGATTCCCAGCGCTTGCAGTTTGTGAAGATGAGAACGTCGTCCACGTACACCGCCACGAAGAGCACTTTATCTCCGACGATCTTGTAGTATACGCAAGGGTCATACACGGTGCACTCGAGTCCAAATTTTCGAAGTGCGGCATCCAGCTTCATATTCCAGACCCGGTTAGATTGTTTCAGGCCGTATAGGGCCTTATTGAGACGGCATACCTTGGCTTGATTCTGCCCATCCATGAAGCAAGAAGGTTGCTCCATGCATATTTCGTCCGAAAGCTCACCTTGGAGGAAAGCTGTGATAGCATCCATTTGGTCTATCTGCAAATTCCATCGTGCAGCCAAGGCAAACAGATACCGCAAGGAACTATGACGGACAACCGGGGCGTAGGTGTCCTCGGAATCCACTCCGTTGCGAGTATCCTTTCACGACCAGTCTCGCCTTGTATCGGTCGATGTTACCGCTACCGTTTAGTTTCGTCCGGTACACCCACTTGCACCTGATTGCCTTGCGTCCTTCTGGCAAATCAGCGAGTGTCCAAGTACCGTTGGAGATGAGGGCCTCATACTCCTCCTTCATGGCCTGTTTCCATCGTTCCGCATCGTCACAGTATAGTGCTTCCTGATGGGACATTGGATCATCCAGGACTGACTGTTGAAAATCGGCACCAGTATCTGAACATTCAACAATGTCATTCAAATACTTGCCTTGGGGCAGGCGCCCCCTATCGCAGAGCATCAACCCTCCTTGCATTTCATCGCTAGTAGGTCTTTGATTTGAAGACGACGGGGGCGCAGCGGTTTCCTCGGTAAAGGGTGCAGGCTGAATTGTATAACGCCTCCGATCATCTGTAAATTTCAAAGACGGCAATCCTTTGTTCTCTAAACGTTGCCTGCGAGAAAGCGCTCCCTACCACTTTGCCTCAATGCCTGTGACTGGGGCGAATTTGAAACTGTGCGCGGTGGGAGCGCAGGATCTGTCACGGTGTCAGCAGCATCCACAAAGGATGCATCACTTGAAGTCGTTTGTTCGTTGTCCGTCACGTCATGTTCATCGTTTTTCGCTACATCGTCTACCTCCGAAATCGTAAAATCCAGCCGAACAAAGCTGCGCTCTGGACCATTGGACTTCACTGCTACTACCACTTCATGCTCACTGGATCCCTCGTCAATGAAAGTTACGTCACGACTTCTGAAGATTATGGCTGTCTTCAGATTGTACAAGCGGTACGCTTGCGTTTCGTCGTCGAATTTGGTCCCACTTTTGCCGCTTTTGCATCGGCACGTGCGCCATCACAGTCGTACCAAAGATTCTAATGTGGGAAAGATTCGGCTTTCGTTTCGTCCACGCTTCCTCTGGTGTCGTATCAATACCCTTGGTTGGCGATCTATTGATGAGGTAGACTGCTGCTGCTACGGCTTCTGCCCAAAGCGATTTCGTACAGCATGCACCTCGCTCGCTCCACTACCGTCCGGTTGACACGCTCGGCAAGGCCGTTCTGCTCGGGGGTGTACTCCGCTGAAGTTTGGTGACGGATTCCTAACTGCTTCAGGGAGTTTTCGAAGCTTCTGTTCTTGAACTTCCAGCCATTATCCGTCCTAAGCACCTTCAACTTCTTGCCACTCTGTCTCTCGACCATGCTATGGAATTCCTTGAACTTTTGTAGCACTTCCTCCTGCGATTTAGTGCGTAAAAAGTAGACGAAAATTTTTCGAGTCTTATCGTCGGTTAACGACAAGTCTAACGGGCTCCTCCCAACGATATTTCTTCCATCGGACCGCAAATGTCCGAGTGGACCAGCTCCAGTTCTTCATTGGCCCGTGAACCAACGGGGTTGAATGGTAATCTCGTTTGCTTCCCGACGGCACACATTTTGCAGCCTCCGCAGTCCGTGCCATCGTAGTTGACCCCAGTCGCTAGCCCATTTTTGAGTTTCGCCAAACTTCCGGAGCTCAGATGTCCCATCCGTTGATGCCACAGCTTCGCCGTTATTCGGGGTGAGCACGCATACGCCTGGGAGCTCTTCTGCTCCAGCTTGTATAACTCATTGGAACGGCATCCGGTAGCAATAACCTTTCCGCTGGGATTCACCACCTCGCAACCAGTCTTTCTGAAAACAACAGTGTGGCCTTGGTCAACTATCGTACCTACTGACAGTAGGTTTACTGCCAGCTCCGGAATCAGCTCGACATTTCGCACTTCTATCGCATCGGGGTTGCAGGTGGGCTGTAGCTTGGTAGATCCTTCCGCAACGATTTTCATCACGCCCTTGTTCGCCGCGTAGATACTACCATTCGCTTCACGTAGGTTCTCCAACAGTTGTTTGTTGTTGGTGAGATGCTTGGCAGAACCCGAATCGAAATACCAACTGTTGTCCGTTGCCGCGTCTTGCACTGACAACACGGTGCAAAAGGCGTCTCCTTTCTGATCCGATCCGCTTCGTTTCGATGGTTCTTGATCCCTGGTCCTGGTTTGACAATTCTTCGCAATGTGACCAAATTTCTCACACCGCCGGCATTTCGGTCCTTTGCCTTTCGAATTTGTGTTCACGTTGCTTTGGTAATCATTTGAGTTTTTTCTTGCAGAAATAAACGCCGGTCCCGTAGTAGGCGCTGACAAATCCGTCTCCTGGAGCAACTTGGCTTTGATGATGTCACCCGTGATTTCGATTCCCGAATTTTCAAAGCCCATCACCATCGGACGATACTCGTGGGGCAAGCCAGCCAACAGCAGCATTCCGATCCATTTGTCATCCAACGGGAATCCGATTCGAATTAGCTGATGCGCTGTTGAAACCATCCGATTTACGTACGCTTCCATTGTACCGCAATTGTTCAAATTCGTCGTGATAAGCTTGTGTAGAAGGGCCCACTGTCGTGTCAGTCCCGTGTCTTCGAAGGTATTGGTCAGTTTTTTTTTCACACTTCCGCTGCCGTTTTCACCTCCTCGACGTGAATATAAATCACCGATCCGATCAGCAAAATAATTTTACCTCGTGCAATCCTGTCCTTTCGCGCATCCCCCTCAGGAAAAGTTCCGTCGTCATTCGGGGTAGGCTGCACCACGTCCCAAAGGCCTTCCACTTCCAGAAAAGTCTTCACTGCAAACTTCCAAGTTCTCCAGTTTTCACGACCAATCAACCGCTCAATCGCCGGATGGTTCTGTGTGGAATAATTCTGTGTGGCTGCACGCACTAGAGTTCTAGCCGGGTCTCCGGATCCATTTCCTTCAGGGTTCGCTTGTGGATTCTGCATTTTTCTGGGTTCACAAAACTATCTGAGCCCATAACCTAATGGGCAGCAGAGTAAAAGTAAAACGCGTGTGTTATCTTGAACAAGTGAAAGAATTTATTTTTCCTTCGTAGTAACAGACAGTCATGGGTTGCTTCGATGTATTTCATCAAATTGCCTTATAGAACTCGTTCCACAGTCCTTATGGGACAACCCCAACAGCAATTCAATATTGTTTGCTCTATAATCCACATGAAGCAAGATATTTCCTACTCGGGTAGTCCCCATTCGCCACAGAACAATAGAAAAATGACCTTACCGGACCACCCACCACTCCACCCCCCCAAACCCACGGTGTACTGGAATGCAGTCCGAAGCACAAGGACCACGACGGAAAAGATAGAAGATCAAAACTAACTTGGACAGGGTTTCCTTTCCTCTTCCGCTCTTTGCTCGCCCCGACGAACGGACAAACTTTGATTTCAAACAAACTTAAGTTCAACATTCTTCAGCACCGAACGACGAACGCCGGACGCTTTTACGGCTCCGGCTGTTGAGAACCAAAAGCTATTATTACGTTCGTTCAATAACGGCTTGGAATTTTTCCGGAGCTCATTGCAAAATTATGCAGCTCCTGGGCGGAAAAGTTCTTCTGCGCGCTGCTGTTCTCATTTCTTTCATCGGATCTTCCCGTTTTCCTGTCTTACACTCTCGTTCTCATTGGAAGTTAATTAAATTAATTAAAATAACGATAACGATAACTGGCTCCCGCTGATGTTTCAGCCCCGGTTCTCTCATTACATCATCGCGAGGGGAAGCAGGACAATGCGATGGGAAGGAGATTCGATTTTCCCTGTGCTTTGCTCATTCTCACAAGGGAAGAAGATTTCCGCTAGTGTTTCGATTTAAGGGCGGTATGCAGTTAGTTTCTGAAAAGAAGCTTTTACTATCTTCCGGACAACTGAATACCACCCCCGTTCCCGTTTCGGAAGGTACTAAAAACTTGAGCAGTATATCAAAGAACTCCTTCCCAATGCGAAAAAAGTGTCCTCTGGTTTCCCTATCTCCCCATGAGTATTATTTTCTTTCATTTGCCTCTCTTCTTTGCTCCGAGTTTCAAGTTTCGAGGCATCTTACACCGGCAGAGAAGAAGCTTAACATTAGCAAACTTTTTCCCATTTCCCGTTAGCTTCGCTAATTAAATATCTTTAAATTTTCAATAAAAGTGTTTCAACTTAACATATTTCCCTAGTTTGTTTTTGTTTTGCTTTTCTCATTTCCGGTACTCGTTTTGTTTTGTTTTACTTACGAAAAAATGGACATTACTTCCTGCCCAATTCGATCTGTTTATATGAGAAAAGTTTATCTAATTTAAAACAGTTCAACTATCACAATCAGTTACAGAAAACTAACTTTTTTTTTTTCATCGCTTCTCCTTACATAATTGCCTTTTGTTACACTGTGCACTGTAACTGTATGGTGTTATTCTGACTTTCTTTTCACGCAACCGAATTCACTACCAATAACAAAGAGACGTGCGTTGCACCGCAGATATACTTAAACCTTATTGCAACTAGATAACTGAACTGAAATAAACGTAAACGTAAACAAAACAACATTGTGATTTACCATAAGCTGCAACCGAGCCTACTATATGTACAGATATTCCCGTTCATCAAAAAAGTGATTTGATTATAATACTTTTTCCGTTTTCCTTTCGTTCAAGCGGTGCCGATTCCGGATTCCCATGGAAACAGTCTTACGCCAACGAGTGCACCTTGGCCGAGAGACAGTTGTGCAGGACGAACACGACCGGCTTGGGGCAGCACTCCATGTCCAGTTCCTGTCGAGTTCGACGAGATGAGAACAAAGAGCAAAATTAATCATCTATGCAGTGACAGCGGAACCGAGCTTGGGGAAAACTTACAATCTCAGCGCCATCTTCGCTGCCGGAAAAGTCCAGATAGAGCAGTTTGGTGCCGTCGTCGGCGGAACCTTTCAACCTGTCGAAGGGAAACGACCAGAGGGGCTTCGATCCGGTACTGGCCAGGGCAGAGTCCAGCAGGGTGAAGCCCCGATCCAGGTGGACGATTAGCTGACATGGGCGGCCCTGGGGAAGAAGCAATGGGGGGGTGTTTGTTTATTATAGTGGTTATATAATTGGATACATGTACAGTAGGGTGGTGCATTTTGAAGAAAACAAAAAATTTACTAGCGCTATTGCCGCTATTGTACAACACATATGAGTTTTGCCATTTTGTTGCTGAGTTACCAATCGATCTGAAACCAAGGTACATTCCTCAAAAAACTTGTTTAAACTAAACAAGCTAAATTTTGATTACAGAAAACTCCCATCAATAGCGGATAATAGGGAAAATGGAAATGGAAACCGCGTAGATGGTGTCCATACTACATGGGATTTGACTTAATTGGTTACAACATGGAATATCTTGAGAGCCTGACCAGAGAAGACCTGATACAAGATAGAAAGTTACTGGTCTCCGGAAAAGTTGTTCAGTAGATCATAACCTTTTCGCTGGTGGGCAGTAGTTCTGAATTTTCTCACTACGTAGTGCTAGTATACATGTGAAATTCTCGCATTTAAAATATCTTTAGATCCTGATCACATATAACGTAAATGTCTGGCAAAGTTGTTCAGGACGTCAAGATCTTTTTATTGGTGGACAGTAGTTCAGACTTTCCTCACTACGTGGCACTACTATACATGTGTTATTCTCGCACTGTCTTCGGAAAACTTGTTCAGGGGATCAAGACTTTTTGGCTGGTGGACAGTAGTTCAGAATTTTCTCACCACGCGGCACTAGTATACGTGTACAATTCTCGCATATGCTATAGTTCGAGATCCTGAAGAGGTAGAAATTTACTGTCTCCAACAAAGTTGTTCAGAAGGTCATAGTCTATTGCTTGGTGCACAATAGTTCAGGATTTTCTCACTGCGCGGTGTTAGTACACACGCGAAATTTTCCAATATAACCTGACCATATAGAAAGTTACTGCCTTCGACAAAGTTGTTCAGGTGGTTATAGCTTATTACTTAGGACACACTAACGTTTGCATTAAAAAAATGGACTTTTTTCGGATGGTGATAAAAAAAGCTTAGACAGATAATTTCTTTTGGTAAATTTCCCATGGAAGGTAATTATTTAGGCTTACTTGCAAAAAACTTCTACGCCCTTGCGAGCGGCCTTCCGGCAGTTAACCGGAACATTCGCCATGGCGGACGAAAACATGCGAGTTTTCGAGTTCTTTCTTCGTTTTATTTATCAATTCCTCCTCAGTTTTCGAGACAAAATTGTTGGAGTAGATCTTACGCTTCAGGTTGGCCGAGAAATTTTCGATGGGACGCAGCTGGGGGACGTTGGGCGGGTTCGCCGACTTGGGTACCACATCGATATTTAGCCGCTCCATCTCCTCCAACGATTGCTTCGAGTAGTAGGCCGACGCCAGATCCAGCCAGAACACCGCGTCTTCGCCCTTATGGTATTTCTTGATGAACGACGCAACTTCCGGCAGGCATTTCGTACTATAAATTCGGAGCGAAAGAAGAGCGGCTTTGACTTCCCCTTCTCGCTGATTGTCAGCCACAGCAGCACCTTCTTGGGGAACTTGGTGTGTGAAATGAACTTCACCTCGGAGCTCACTTCCTTAGTGGAGGAAGTAAAATACAAAGTGCCCTGCCAGTCGTTGCCATCCAGGGTGAGATAGGTCTCGTCGTCCATCACCACCGTCACGTAGCGATTCGCCGGGAAAAACGAGTTGACCATCTTATTCAGCCGCTACCGCTGCGTCATTGCCTGCAGCTCCGAAACCAGTGGACGTGACTTCCGCTTCCTGACATGTATGTTCATGTTCGCCAGCTACTTTTTCACTGTTTGGCCGGTTGCACCGACCTCCCGGCCAAGCGCACGCACCGATGTAGCCACTTTTCCTTCGGTCTTTCTCTTCAACATCCTTTGGAGCTTTTTGTCGCTCAGGGTCGTCGGCCGTCCGTAATCGGGCTTTCTTTCGATGCTCTAATTGTTGTCTAATAGTGCGCAGGATAGACTCGTTCCGGCGTCCACAAAGTGCCGCACGATGTCCGTTTTCGACGCGGCGGGGTGCCGTTCTTTGAACGCGCACACCTCTGAACGGAGTTGCTTTACTGTTTTTGCCATCACGGTTAGAGTTCGACTGATAGAGCTGTCAAATTTTGTCTGCTGACTCATGGGTTACTATGATTGATGCTGCAAGGGGAGTTTTGTCAGTGCGGGTGAGGTAAGCCCATGAAAAATCGACAATGCTTGTCATTTTTTTTAAATGCATACGTTAGTTCAAAATTTTCCCACTGCACGCCGCTATTATACACGTGAAATTCTCACATATAAAATATTTCGGGATCCTGACCAGATGGAACGTTATTATCTCCGGCAAAGTTGTTCAGGTGGTCCAGGCCTTTTGGCTGGTAGACAGTAAGTGTTGTATTTTTTTTCGTTGCATGTTATTTGTTTTTTGCCAAAGACAGTAACTTGCTGTCGAGATATTTTATATGCGAGAATTTTACGTGTATTCTAAACTACTGTCCACCAGCCAAAAGGTCTTCATTTCCTTAACAACTTGGCCCATTCCGTTGCTTTTTAGCTAGTCAGGATCTTGAGATATATTTTTTCTTGAATTCCTTCACAGGACAGGTTTGTCATAAAATTTATGAAGTACACTTCTCAGCAGCGATACAGGCTATGACCGTTAAAAGTCTTCTGATTCAATCCCAAATAGTCATACGGAATAATCCCTAATCGACCTTATTAGTCAATTTTGGAAACCTTAAGGTTTTGTATTAGCTTCAGTCTCTTGGCTTGAAACTTTGAAGCTCACACATTTTTCTCACATAGTGTGGACCCCAAGGAATGTGTAAAATAAATGTAAGCCATAATTGTCGATACATTAGAAATATTTGTTAACTAATGACTATGGAAAATCAGTGTTACTCGGCAGCAACCATTGTGTGGTCCTCCTCATTGTTCTTCATCAGCAGTTCTTTCGGTCGATGCGTCGTCGACTTTGGAAAGCAACCATTTCGAGATGAGTGTGTGAGTGCTGACAACGTTTTGCGTCCATTGCTGCAATTGAAGCGCTCTACCCCCCGTTGGCGATACTACCATGCAATGAAACCACTGGAAGCGGCTCCCGTTTTGATGGAGGAGGCTTATTGGTAGCGGAAGATAAATTGTTTATTGTGTTGTACCTTTTGACTATTGTCTTAATATGTATTGTAAAACGAACAAGAATCCTCGGCTCTGTAAAGTTAATTTGATTGAGCCTTATCCAAGAAATTAATAAACAACAATCATTAGGTGGGAGTGCACCCAGGTTTCCAGATAAAGTGGTGTTTTGAGCCACCCTAATGAATAGGCAGATGAACCTTACGTTTGGGTTCGATCTGGAGCCTTTTGTCTTTGGATATTTGGACGACATTATTATCGCCACCGAAACACTTGTCAATGTGATTTCTTTTTTTAAACTTCTGTATTACTCACTACTGTATTAGTGAAGTCCCCTGGCTTGATTTTGGGCCTATAAAATAGGTAGCTCGGCAAAAAAAAATCTCACTTGATATAAATCATGAACCATTAAAGATACAGGGGTTACTCAAAATAACTAGGATAGGCAAATTTTTGGTCAACTTTGGAGTGTTGTAACTTCGTCAAATATGATCCGATTTTAAACCTTCCAAGAGCATTTGACTGGAAAACTAATATTGTTCTACGGTGTGGCCACGAAAATAATCCTGGTGACCGGATACCGGAGATATTCCGGGTTTCCGGAGGGCTTGTCTAACTTGCTAAATTTTTGGTGAAATTTTATATATGATGCTGGTTAAATATATATATTTTTAGTAAAAACACGAAAGAAGAACCATTTCTTAAGTGAATCATATGCCAAGAACTAAATTCAACCGAGATATGGCCATTTCCCTGGAATCGGTTCTGGTGAAGGGTTCTGAATGCGGGCAGATATTTTAATCACTCAAAACATGCCGTGTGACAGCTCTTTCTTCATGGTTTCTCGTCAATAGACTTTCGATAAACTTTAAATGCATCATGGACCACATTGTCCGTTCTCGGGACCTCCGGTATGCCCGGGGGAACCTGGAAAAGAGCACAATTGCATTTTTACACCAAAACATGCCGTGCGACAGCTCATTCTTCATGGTTTTTCATTAATAGGCTTTCCATAAACTTCAAATGAATCATTTACCACATTGGCCGCTCTTGGAATCACGGGATACCCCCGAGAGATCCTGTAGTAGGGGGCAATTGCGTTTTTACTCAAAAACATGCCGTGCGATAGCTCTTTCTTCATGGATTTTCATGAATATGCTTTCTATAGACTTAAAGTGAATCATTGACCACACTGGCCGCTCTTCGAGCCACTGGATACCCCCGGGGGAACCTGGAACAGAGGACAATTGCGTTTTTACACCAATACATGCCGTGCGACAGCTCATTCTTCATGGTTTTTCATGAATAGGCATTCATTAAACTTCAAATGGATCAGTGACCACATTGGCCGCTCTCGGAACCACTGGGATGCCCCGAGAGAATCTGTAGTAGGGGGCAATTGCGTTTTTACTCAAAAACATGCCGTGCGACAGCTCTTTCTTCATAGATTTTCAAGAATATTCTTTCTATAGACTTAAAGTGAATCATTTACCACATTGACCGCTCTCGGAACCACTGGGATGTCCCGAGAGAACCTGCAGCAGGGGAAAATTGCGTTTTTACTCAAAAACATGCCGTGCGACAGCTCTTTCTTCATGGATTTTCATGAATATGCTTTCTATAGAATTGAAGTAGATCATTGACCACATTGACCTTTCCTGGGATGACCACATTGACTGGAATGCCCTGGGGGGAACCTGTAGTGCGAAACACGACGAGGACTTTACGCACCTGCCATGGCCAGCACAGTCGCCTAATTTAAATATAATTGAGCCACTTTGGTCGACGTTGTAAGTTCGTATTTGAAGCGTTTTTCCTCCTCCATCGTCGTTGAAAACGCTTGAACATCTTTTGATCCAAGAATGGTACAACATTCCACTAGAAGCCATCCAAAAACTTTATGAATCAATTCCCAGACGAATCCAAGCTGTTATTGAAGCAAATGGTGGTCCAACATCATATTAGACGGTTCCATTATAAAATTTTTCTACAATTTTAAAAGACATTCCTAATTTATAAATAATAATTCATTAATAAAACATAGCTTTGCAAATAGCAAATAGCTTTGGAAACCAGATTTTAGGCGCAACTTTTCAAATAAGAATGGTTTATTCGCACTGTCACTATTGTTTATTTTTAAATGCAGGAAATGGCACTTACTGATGGTTACTAGCGAGCACAAAAGTGCTGGCGAACATCTCCAGAGCTGACGTCGACAGTCATTTTGTTCATTAACACTCCGAATACGGTGGGTAAAATACTTTACGCCGACCACGAAGCCTCCGAAAAACGTGTAACAGCAAGTTTGCAATAGCATAACTTAGCCATTTCTTAATGAATTTCAAAAATTGTGGTACTTCTAAAATTCCTAGGGTCTGTAGATTATTTTGATTGTTAAAAGATTAAAAATAGGGTCGGCTACTTTATTCAAAATCGAAAAGAGTCGTTACACGTTTTTTTAAAAGGAGTGTTTATGGGTTTTGCAAGTGGCCTAAGATCCATAAATTAGATTAATGGGCACAAATGTTCATAACTAGCCAGATTACAGTCATGATTCCTATATATGGAAACTGGATATAACGGAACGGTCCTCAAAAGATCCGTAACATCCGTAAAAGTGGTCTATCCATAAACCCCTGATCCTAGAACTCCGCGGTTTTTTCGAAAACATTAGGAACTGTGATATAAAAAATAATTTGGGTTCATGACATAAACATGGACCCGGATGGCCATCGGACCATCCTCCGGAAGATCCGGAACATCCGTAAAAGTGTTCAATCTATGAAACTGATCCTAGAGCCTAGGTTTTTTCGTAAACACGTGGAAGTGTCATATATAAATTAATTAAGGGTCATGACATAAACATGTACCTAGAAGACCATGGGACCGTCCTCTGGAAGATCTGGAACATCCTTGAAAATGGTCAATCCATGAAACTGATCCTAGAAATCCGTGGTTTTTTTTTCGAAAGCATTAGGAAATGTGATATAAGAAAGAATTTGGGGTCACAACATAAACATGGACCCGAATGGCCAAGGGGCCGTCCTCTGGTAGGTCCGAAACATCCGGAAAAGAGGTCAACCAATGAAACTGATCCTAGAGCTCCACAGTTTTTTCAAAAACATTAGGAACTGTGATATAAGAATTTTGGGTCCTGCATGGCCATGGGATCGTTGTCTGGAAGATCCGGAACATCCGTAAAATGGTCAATCCATAAAACTGATCCATTAGTTCCACGGTTTTTTTTCGAAAACACGTGGAACTGTGATATAAGAATTAATTTTGGGTCGTAACATAAACATGAGCCCGGATGACCATGAAACCGTCTTGCGAAAGATCCGTAAAAGTGGTGCATCGATGATACTGATTCTAGAAGTTCAATGTTTTCTCGAGAACACTTCGAGCTGTGAAGTTTTCGAAGTATGTTTCATGTATGAAACACTTTTACGGGTGTTCCGGATCTTCCTAATGACGGTTCAATGGCCATACAGGTTCATGTTTAAGTCACGACCCCAAATTTATTCTTTTAACACAGTTCCTAGTATTGTTTGTAATAAACTGCGGAGCTCTAGCATTAGTTTCATGGATTTACCACTTTTAAAGATGTTCCAGATCTTCCAAAGGATGGTCTCATGCCCATCAAGGCCCATGTTTACGTAACGACCATTCTTATATCACAGTTCCAAGAGATTTAAAAAAAAAAAACTGCTGAGCTCTAGAATCAGTTTCATGGATGAACCAATTTTACCGATGCTCCGAATCTTCCGAAGGACGGTTCCATAACCATCCGGGTTCATGTTTATGTCACGACCCCAAATTCTTTCTTATATAACAGTTCCACGTGTTTTCGAGAAAAAAAAAACTGTGGAGCTCTAGGATCAGTCTCATGGATGGACCACTTTTACAGATGTTTCGGATTTTCCGGAGGATGGTCATATAGCCATCTGGGTCCGTGTTTATGTCATGAACCCAAATTCTTTCTTATATCACAGTTTTTAATGTTTTTGAAAAAAAAACCCTGGAGCTCTAGGATCAATTTCATCGATGGACCACTTTTAAGGATCTTTCCGATATTCCTGTTTATTTCACGACCCTATATTATTTCTTATATCACAGTTACTAGTGTTTTCGAAAAAAACCGCGGAGCTCTAGGATCAGTTTCATGGATTGACTACTTTGACAAATGTTTCGGATCTTCCTGAGCACGCTTCCATGGCCATCCGGATCCGTGTTTATGTCATGATCCCAAATTTTTTTCTTATATCACAGTTCCTAATGTTTTCGAAAAAAGCGCGGAGCTCTATGATTAGTTTCGTGGATTGATCAATTTTACGGATGTTCCGAATCTTCCGGAGGACCGTTTTGTTGTCTATATGATCCATATATAGGAACCATAACTGTATTCTGGCTAATTATGAACATTTGTGCCCATTAATCTAATTAATGGATCTTAGGCCACTTGCAAAACTCATAAACACTCCTTTTAAAAAAACGTGTAACGACTCTTTTCGCTTTTGAATAAAGTAGACGACCTTATTTTTAATCTTTTTACAATCAAAATAATCTACAGACCCTAGGAATTCTAGAGGTACCACAATTTTTGAAATTCATTAAGAAATGGCTAAGTTATGCTATTGCAAACTTGCTGTTACACGTTTTTCGGAGGCATCGTATTCGGAGTGTTAAAGTGTTGTTGTTGTGCTCTTGCTACACCTTACATTAATACAAGAGAGAGACTTTTATTGGTGTACAACCAGAGTTTAAAGACCTACTCTCCCTAGTCACTGCTCCATTTCAATGTCAATGATCCATTTCAAGACTTCAGATAGTTCGAGCTGTCGAACGGCATTGTGAAGTGAAAATACAATTTTCCTCTTACATGGGGCATCTGCTGGTTCCAGAATGAGCTCTCCAATGGCATTGTTTTGTGTAAAAATGTGATTGCATCCTACTACAGGTTCCCCCAAGGGTATTCCAGTGACTCCGGAAAGGTCAATGAGGTCAATGATCCACTTCTATTCTATAGAAAGCATATTCATGAAAATCCATGAAGAAAGAGCTGTCGCACTTCACGTTTTTGAGTTAAAACGAAATTGTCCCCTGCTACAGGTTCTCTTGGGGCATCCCAGTGGTTCCAAGAGCGGCCAATGTGGTCAATGATCCACTTCTATTCTATAGAAAGCATATTCATGACAATCCATGAAGAAAGAGCTATCGCACGACATGTTTTTGAGTAAAAACGCAATTGCCCCCTACTACAGGTTCCCCCCGGGGGTATCCCGTCATTCCAAAAGCGGCCAATGTGGTCACTGATCAATTTGAAGTTTAATTAATGCCTATTCATGAAAAACCATGAAGAATGAGCTGTCGCACGGCATGTTTTGGTGTAAAAATGCAATTGTCCTCTGTTCCAGGTTCCCCCGGGCATACCGGAGGTCCCGAGAGTGGCCAATTTGCTCACTAATCCATTTAAAGTCTATCAAAAGCCTAGTCATGAAAAAGCTTGCAGAAAAAGCTGTCGCACGGCATGTATTGGTGTAAAAACGCAATTGTGCTCTGTTCCAGGTTCCCCCGAGCATACCGGAGGTCCCGAGAACGGCCAATGTGGTCAATGATGCATTTAAAGTTTATCGAAAGTCTATTGTTGAGAAACAATGAAGAAAGAGCTGTCGCACGGCATGTTTTGAGTGATTAAAATATCTGCCCGCATTCAGAACCCTTCACCAGAACCGATTCCAGGGAAATGGCCATATCTCGGTTGAATTTAGTTCTTGGCATATGATTCGCTTAAGAAATGGTTCTTCTTTCGTGTTTTTACTAAAAATATATATATTTAACCAGCATCATATATAAAATTTCTGCATTGAACAAATTCTAGAAAATGGTTTCGCTTAGCTGTAGCAATGCAAAGAGAAAATCGATGAAGAGAATCGATCATTGCGTATACACCCTTCTGCATGCTCACTGTCGAATTGATATGATTTCCCTTAACGATGGCTGTTAGCTCGAGTGAGTGACGAAAGCTGTTTTGTAAATATCTCCGTGTGTCGTCGATATTTTACAGCAGTCTTTGGTTCTCTTTTTGTTTAGAAATTTCTCTTTGCATCACCTAGGTTACATGTTAGATAGGATCCTTTCTGAGAAAAAAAAAACTCGTATTTCAAACTCACCTGATATAAGCACCGGAACGAAAACTCCCGCTGGCAGATGATGGCATTGTGGCAACCCTGCACCAGCACCCGTGCCCACGCCGCCATGTCCCGATTCGTCTCCGAGCGCAACCAATGGCTGACGACTCCGCGCGTGGTACCGCACCGAACGCAGAACACACTGGACTGGGCGCTCTGTAAATCAAATTTCGTCGTCTAGAATTAAATTTCAATTTACCTCATCGAAATAATGTGATGGACAGGTTTTCTTTTTCCCCATACTTACAGAGTTTGATCCAACGGTGGAAGTGTTGCCAGCACCAGCTAGTCGCGTCATCACCAGTGGACTGCACTCGAACGGTCGACTCCAGGCTTCCACCGACCAGGGGGCGCTTTCGTACAATCTGAAACAAAGGGAGCATAAGTTGGGTTCAAATGCGAATCAGGGGATTCCTGATAAGGATCACCAATCATACTGATTTGAATAGGGTTTGTGCTTTAAAATTCATACGATTTCCATACCTTCCTGCAGACACAAATATGGGATGGGTATAGGCAGGTATCTCAAAGCAACAGCAACAGTCGGTTTTGTGGAACGAATTCAAGCAAAGCTGACTGAGATTTCAGACGCACACCGACTGCGGTGTCCTAATCAAATATGCAAATATGTTCACACCATTTTCTAGGATGGAAGGAGTGTTTTTTGCCAAGCCAAAGAGTTGAAGAAGTCAGAAAAGCGAGAGATTCCTTGATTTCCCGACCTTGATTTGGCGGACGATGGCGTAGTTCTGGCAATTGAAAAATTACTGAATCATAGCAAGCCGTAAAAGTAGAGGGAAGTATTGTGATCGAGAGCGGTGCAAGCTGCTCGAAAAAGACCTTGATGACTGTTTAATGAGGATAATGCGGCAGGCTGCTCCATGCCATCGTCATACTTCGTTATGGGGTGGGTGCTTTTAGAGGGAGATCATTATTTTTACATCACGACAATCAGTCCAAACACAAAAAAAAAGGTAATGGGGCAAGTCGTAAAACAATCAACATTTTTTGCTGCGTTGGTTGTGAGGTAATTTTGAAATAATTGAAGGTTTGCTCTCTATTCATCCGACATGAATTCGTTCAACCCTCTTAAATTCTTCGTGAAAGTTGAGCAAACTTTGAGTCATTTGACAATCCCACAACCTATTATGGCGCACACAAGTCGTGGCATGTAGTAAAGTTTATCATTCGACGGAGAGCGCAATTTACATTCAAACAGCCAACAAACAGCATCTCGAGCCAGGGAACGGAGAAACTTTCCTGACGGGGGTTTCCTATACGTATCTCCAACAGAAGTTGAGAAGCTGAACAGTGATGGTGCTGCAAGTGCGCTTTTCAACCCACAAACAAGAAGCGTAACGACTTTTACCCGACCATCACCCGAGATATATTACATTCCACATCCTCATGCTTTTATCAAACCCGCACACAATCGCATGGGTTTAGGCAAATGGATCCCACAACTTTGGCAATTTAAAATTTGGAATTTTCTGACTAAAGGCACAGTTGATGGCATCAAATTCGCCATAGTCTCGTCTCGACCGATGCTCGCCCTGATCCAGTTAGTTTCCCTCAGCAGGGCTTAATGTGATTAGTTCGTGTTGTTCCGTTGCCGTCGTCGTCGTCGTCGTTGTTACACACACACATACTACAAGACGTGACAGTTGCATTCGGTTCACCTCATGACTTTGAAGCCACCTACATATATCCACCACGATCAATTAGCAACCTATTACACTTTGGTCTTTCGAGCGGCTTAAACCGAGTGACAGCCACAAAGCCTTCGGTTCGAGTCTCGGTAACGGTGTTATAATGTTACAAATCAAATTAAACAGACAAATTAATTATGCATTCTCTCTTCTGGGCTGACCACAATTCCAGTAGCCCGATGAATGTCAGTCGTCGTTCGTCTTCTGGCAGGATAGTCAGAGGCAAATCCCACATTTTAACCACCCATGACTGCACTGACTGCTCCGGTTCATCGGGAGGACTTCCTTGGCTTCTGCGAAGAAAGCAATCAGTGTCAATCGTAAATCTTGACATGCCGGAATATCACTTTCAGCATTTAACCCCTGCGTTGGGCCTTTTGGTGGAAATATTTTGGACAAGATGGGACTGTTCTCCAGAATTGTTCACTCAGCTCCCATGAGGGAAAAATCTGTAAAAATATCCAATGGGTTCAATCTAATAAAAAAAATCTCATTAACTGCGAAGTAAACATCACTCAGCCAGGATAGCGGGGAACCCGAGCAGGAGAAAATATGTTATGAACGCCTAATTCTATTCCTGATACCAAAATTTGGTGTTTATCGGCCTTTCATAAGGGGTAAAATACCAAAGAATAATACCAAAAAATTGCATGCAAAATGCTAATTAACCAAAAACAGCCACACTGTCGGATGAATTGAAGCAACATGGACTCAAGCCAATTAACATCTTCAAGATGATTCGTCATGACGCTTCACGTAAGTACCGTGACCAGCTGTATCTGGTCCACCTGGAAAGGAATTCGACATGCTTGAAAGACCTTCAGGAACGGTACAAGCCAGTCCACCGTGATGTCACCCAATGCGCAACATTATGCTATTTGGGCATGGAACGAGAAACTGCCACATGGCCTACCGCTGCAACAATTGTGGCAAGCCGGACGCGCCTGGTGTCTGAGAGCTAATGGCAATCCTCTGACACGGCCATTGGTTTTTGAAGCTGCCGTCAGTGATAGCAGTGGCGTTGATGTCGGCATGATTTTAAGCATCGTTCATACGTTACCATCATCATGGTTTGCCGATGAGATCCACCAATCCGAGTATGACCAATCGATAGCACGGTCATTTGTTCTTGATGCGTGACTTCACTTCCCATAGTTTCATCAAACGATATCATCAAATGCATTAGCTAAATTTTCGCCTATACCGAAACGTTACCATGGCCGTACAAGCAGTAAATAATTGACGTATAATTGAGCCAAAGCACCAAATAAAGCAGCTTCAAATAATGTGTTCTTGGATGACTTTTGTGCCACCCAATGGAGCTAATGGAGGACGCAGATCCCAAATGAGCTTTCTTCCAAATTTGTGATCAAAATTTTACCACCTTCTTTAAGCGCTGGAATAGGCTTTTGAGGTTTTTTTTCAAAAATTTTGTGAGTTTTCAAAAGGGTTTGGAACTCGGGTCTAATTTAGAACCATTATTTTCAAAAGTTTTGCTCCTCACGCCAGATAATCGGTTTTTAATTTGTTATTGCAAAACCCGCCAGATAACTTTCATGGCAGGCTCACGTGTTCTTTGATATTGTCTCCTACGGACATTTTTAAGACGGATCAAGAGCTGAAGATCGTCGTTTATTATAATTGAATCGAATTTAGCCTCGCATTTCGGTACTGAGGCAGCTCTTGCTTCAACTATAGAAGTAGTCAGAGATTCAAGAGCATAATTAATTTCATCTTTGGCTTGCAAAGGAATGTTTGGGTCGAAGTTATATTCCATAAATATCCGATACTGCTCCCAATCAGCTCTATGATAATTGAAAGTAGAGCTGCTGGGATTACAAATTATTTCTTGGGATATTTCAAAAGTTACTGGAAGGTGATCAGAACCGAAGTCAGCATGAGTAACCAATTGGTAACAAAGTCGACATGAATCAATTAAGACCAAATCAATAGTTGAGGAATTTCTTGCAGAAGAAAAGCATGTTAGGCTGTTTGGATATTGAATAGTGTAATTACCTGCAGAACAATCATCAAACAGAATATACCCGCTTTGAGCATTATTCCATGAGCGCTGCTTTGCATTAAAATCACCAATAATACAGAATTTAGACCTATGACGGGTAAGTTTCTGAAGGTCACCCTTGAGGAAATTCTTTTGCTGGCCTACGCATTGGAATGGCAAATAGGCAGCTATAAACGTAAGTTGTCCAAATTTTGTTTCAACAGAAACACCCAAAGTTTCAAAAACTTTGGTTTCAAATGAAGAAAGAATTTTATGTTTGATTCGTCCATGAATAATGATGGCAACACACTACACACCACACCACAGAGTCCATCAAGACGATCATTTCTATAAATGTAATAATTTGCGTCCTTCTTAACCTTATGGTCAGGTTTAAGGAACGTTTCAGTTATAACGGCAATATACACGTTATGAACTCTCAAAAAGTTAAATAGCTCGTCTTCATTATCTTTAAGAGATCGAGCATTCCAATTTAAAATATTTAATGCTTTAAAATCCATTACTGAATTTTAAAGTCATGACAATATTGTTTGCAAATTTCACTCCAGTTTGAATAGCATCAAACATGGAGTTAGATTTAAGCATATCAGAAATCATGTCCATTAATGATTTCTGTAAAAATTCCATTTTTGGGGCAGTAATGCATCCTAAGCCAAAATTATCCAAATTTCCGTAAGAATTACGTTCGTTAGTATTTTGATTTCTACCCGGTGCAATAGCAGCATAGGTAGCTCCATTAACTCGCTGAACATTGTTAGCAGCGAGGGGAGTAGATATAGATGAAAAATTTGAAGCAGGGGTGATATTTGTACCTACGGGTACGAATGTAGAATTTGTTCCTCGCTGACCGTTGTTAACAGCAGAGTAATTTGTACCTGTTCGGAAACGTGGAGCGTTTCCTATTTACCAGTCGGTTAGAACGAGATTGTAGGATCGCTTTGCGAGTTCATTCATTCATATCCAAAAATTGAATTTGTGGTTTTCACCACAATTTGAACATTTAAATTTCTTAGGATCTTTCTTCACAGGACAGTCGTCATTTGCGTGAGAGGAATCACCACAATTCATGCATTTAGCTGCCATGTAGCAATTTTTAGTTCCGTGATCCCATCCCTGGCACTTGGTGAGGTTTTCGAAATCTCCTCCAGTGTTCCCATTTCACTCGGACATGGAGCATAAGGCTAGCTTTTTCTAAGGCCTTAAGGTTGTTTAGTTCAGTAGACTTGAAGTGAACTAAATAAAAATCATTAGAAATCCCGTTGCGCAAATCGCCAGGACGGGATTTCATTTTCATTTTGATTACTTGGAGTGGCACAACTCCAAGTAATTTTACCAGTTCATCTTTGATCTGATCCAGGGATTCACCACTGGGCAGTCCTTTCATGACAACCTTGAACACACGTTCAATTTTGGTGTCGTAAGTAAAAAATTTGTGCTTCTTCTCAGTAAGATACTTGAGAAGACATTTAAATCCGTCCAAGGTTTCAGCCAATACACGGCATTCACCCCGACGTTCAAATTGTAGTGAAAACTTAACTTTCACGAAGTTCAAAAGTTCCATGCGAAGAGCATGGAAATCGGAAGTGGTTATCACAATAGGGGGAATCTTTTCCTTCTTGGCATTAAGCCGGGA